CAAGATGTGGGTTTTTTTAAAAAAAAAAAACATGTGAGCTGCCCTGAGCCTCTGGGAGGCTGGGATACAAATCAAATAAATAAATAAATAAATAAATAAGGACCAGACCACGTGCTCAGTGGTCGACACGCAGCACTAATCTGAACAGTCGACCACGGAAGAAGCACGTGGTGCGGCCAGATCAGGGCGGGAGTCTGACCGAAAATCCCCATCACAAAATGCGGCAGAGCAATTAGGGACACGCCCGAACCACGCTGACCTGCCGGTCTGTCCGCAGCCCAAGACAGCACCGGGATCTTGCGTTTCCGAGGATCTTAAAGATTACTTGGAAGCAATGCTCCCTCTAAGCTGTGGAGTCCTGTGAGCAAAAATTCTACTTTCTGAGCTACTGGCATTAAAGCTGTGAGCGAGCGATTTGGCTGCTGCATAAATCAGTTTGCTCTGGAGCCCTCCTCCCTGAGCTGAGGCAAAAATGTGTGAGCCAGAGGCTAAAAAACTGTGAGCTAGCTCACACTCACTCAGCTTAGAGGGAACACTGCAGTCGGAAGTAAGTCTTCCTTCTTCTGACCTAGGTAGCCCAGACTAGCTTGACCTCGTCAGGTTTTGGAAGCTAAGCAGAATCGGCCCCAGCTAGGACTTGGCTGGGAGACCTCCAAGGAATACCAGGGTCGTGAGGTAGAGGCAGGCAAAGGCAAAGCCACCTTTGACCGTCTCTTCCCTTGAAAACCCGACGGGGTTGCCATAAGGCAGTCGAGACTGGAGGACACTTTCCGCGACCGCCAAGTCTTCCTTGTTTCCGTATACTGCTCTTCGGGTCAGGCGCCCAATCCGGCAAGAGTTGTAGCGCAAATGGTAAGCAGGGTTACGCCTTCCAGGGACACTTGAGTGTAAATCTGCATCGCCTTTTCAGAGCCAGTTGGGCCTAGTGCCACATCCCTTTGCGTATTTACTTAGAACTAGGGCAGAGTTCAGTCGGACTCGTCCCTGAGTGAACGCAGTGACGGAAGTTCCGTCGGGACAGCTGTCGCCGCCGAAGAAGAAGAACCCGTTTCACGCAGCCTGCGAGCTCAAGCAAGCTCTGGTTTTTGCCAACAAATGTAAAGCTCGATCCTTGCAGGAATCGCGTGCTGCCTTTTGGGAAAGCTGGAAAATATCACACGGGAGGGCAGCTGAAAGCCAAGGTTTCACACTTGCTCAAAAGCAAGTCTTGCTATCTTTTTTTTAAGAGTACCAGCATCTAACATTTGGTTGATTTTGCTTGGTATATTTAAAATCAGGGACGCGAGGATGTTCAGCCAGATTCCGACACTGCACGTCTCTACCCCTCCGCCCGGCCTAACTGGACTGTGTGTCTTCACTCCCGCAACGCCTTCCAACTCTGCCTTTCAGAGGAGAAAGGTGAATGCGATGGGGAGGGAAAGGAATTTGCCCACTTCGTAACTCTCACCCCCGCCCTTTCCTGGCCAGCAGAAAGAAAATAAAAAAAATATTCCAGATCCTCCCCTCTTTACCCTACTGCGGTTCTTCTGTAAACGACCGGACATTTTATATTCCTGCTCGACTGAGGGTGCTTTTGCGAGTGGCGAAATGTTTGCGGGGCTGAAGCGTTTGTAGGAATGTCTCTTTCAGAGGGTGAAGAGACAATATTTCTAAAGGCCTGGCGACGGGGACCGAGAAGGGTGCTGCGGCCTGTGCACGTGAACTTGGAGAAGCCGTGGACCGCCGTCCCCTCCTTGTGAAACAAGTTCCCCCCCTTGTCAATGTCCTAGCAGGCCGGAGTCCTGGGTCATCCCGTTCTCAGGCACGCATGGAGGAAAGGACGTCTTTCGGTGTGGCTTCGGACCCTGGCTAGTTCTAACGCTGGGGATAGACATTGGGCAACAGCCAGCAGTTACTAAATCAAACCGGCATTCTGGCCAGCCTGCGGGGAAATGCAGAAACCTGGGTCTACAAAAGCATCACTTGGGGAAAAGGCCTAGGAGACCTTGATGGATTTCCCTTCCTTTCGTCTTTGACTGGCGTCTTACGGTTTGAGGCTTTCCAGCCGTCTTGACAGCGAGTATTTCCCCCCCCACCCTGCAAGACATAAAAGTACTCTGCCCACATTTTCTTCCACCCCCCAACACCCTACCCCTAAATCCCTGGTTACATCTGGTGATGGTTTTAATTTGCAATTCTTGCAAATCTGGAGAGAAAGAAAGAAAGAAAAGGGGGGGACAGAATGTTGCACGATTCCGCCTCCCCCCGTCTCCCTTTCTCCGCCTCTCTTAACAGGCGAGATCTGAAAGTTCCGTAGAGACGCTCACTTAACAGTTACACAGCGCTGGACCTCTGCTACAAATATTTGCGTAGCATATGGTGCGTGAACTTGTATAATGTATAGCCGGGAACACTCTGTCTCTCTCTCTCTCTAGTTACCCATCCAGATCTAGGGGGGGAAAGTGTGTGGGGAAGACGGAAGGGACAGACGTCACTGGCTGGAGACATAAATCACACCACCGGATAGAGGAGGAGGGGGTTCCCCTCCCCTCCAAAGGAGGACTTTGGAATAACCGTCACCCGAGCAGAAATAATTTCTGATGGCCCATAATGACTTCTTGGCAGAGGGAGCCCCGTCTACATTTCCCCCTCGTCTTTTCCTCTAGAACAATCAGACCCATCAGCTGTAGGATCGAGAGCTCCGGTTTCAAAAGGTGTGCGGATTTGCTTTTTCAAAAAGAAAAAAGCGTTTCCCCAGGAGCTGGTTCATGCATTTGTGCTTCTGGCTTGATGAATGCACATGACACTGCCTCCTACTGCATCCAGGTCAATATTGTCTGCTCAGACTGGCCGACTCCGTCACCTACCACCAGGTCCTTTTTAACTGGAGATGCCAGGGACTGAACCTGGGACCTTCTGCATGCCAAGCAGACGCTCTTCACACTGAGCCACAGCCCCAATTCATGGCTCTCCAGGGTCTCAGGCAGAGGTCCCGTCACCTACCACCAGGTCCTTTTTAACTGGAGATGCCAGGGACTGAACCTGGGACCTTCTGCATGCCAAGCAGACGCTCTTGTACTGAGCCATGGACCCTCCCATGAATCATGAAGCTGCCTTATACTGAATCAGACCTTCACTCCATGAAGGTCAAAACTGTCTACACAGACTGGCAGCCGCTCTCCAGGGTCTTAGGCAGAGGTCTTTCACATTCCCGGCTACCAGATCCTTTTAACTGGAGACGCCAGGGATTGAACCTGGGACGTTTTGTGCACCAGCAGATGTTCCACCATTGAGCCACAGCCCCTCTCCGACACCGGTGTGTCATTGTAACTTGTGTGTGCAAACTGCTTCAAGTCCCCTCAAAGGATGCTTGTTGATGGACCAGCCAGTTCACACCTTCAACTGAAGGTCTTTAAGAGTAGGAACTGTATATGGTTTCATTTCCTTAAGATATGCATATCCTGTCTTTCCACTGGGAAAGATCTCAAAAGGTGCCGACGGTCATTCGAAAACAGCATAAAACAAAATATAATATATAAGGGCTGAATGGATTGATCCAAGGTAGATGTTGTCTTTCCATTGAGTTTTTCTCCGATTTATGTGGCTGTTCCTCGCCCAGGTTGACACTTATGTACACGTTCAGTTTGGTGTCGCGGTTAAGGAGCGCGGATTCTAATCTGGGAGGACCGGGTTTGATTCCCCACTCTTCCACATGCAGCTGCTGGTGTGGCCTTGGGTCAGTCACAAGTTCTCTCAGAGCTGTTCTCTCAGGAGCAGTTCTCGAGGGAGCTCTCTCAGCCCCACCTACCTCACAGAGGGGTCTGTTGTGGGGAGGGGAAGGGAAAGGAGATTATGAGATGCTCTGAGACTCCTTTGAATAGTGAAGGGCGGAGTATAAATCCAATCTCTTCTTCTTTGTTGTGGCCCCTTGCCTGAAGGCTCTCACACTCCTGGCTTTCCGCAAATAATGCAAAGCTGAATTGTTTAGGAGGGTTTTTTTTGCACAGGTAATGGTAGGGTTGCCAATCTCCATGTGGGACCTGGAGATCTCCCACTATTACATTGGATCTCCAGACACACAAACACATGAAACTGCCTTATACTGAATCAGACCCTGGGTCCATCAAAGTCAGTAATGTCTACTCAGACTGGCAGCAGCTCTCCAGGGGCTCAGACAGAGGTTTTTCCCATCACTTACTGCCAGATCTTTTGACTGGAGATGCCGGGGATTGAACCTGGGACCTTCTGCATTCCAAGCAGAGACTCTACCACTGAGTCACTGCTCCTCCTGAGAGACATCAGTTCCCCTGGAGAAAATGGCTGCTTTGGCGGACGGACTCAGTGGCATGGTACCCTGACGAGGTTCCTCCCCTTCCAAACCCTGCCCTCCCTAGGCCCCGCCCCCTAAATCTCCAGGTATTTCTCCACTTAGAGCTGGCAACCCTAGGTCATAGGGCTGTAGTGTAATGAGATGGTTCAGAAAGTTGCATCGGCAGGGCTATTTTGGGGCAGGAACGCACCGGAACGGAGTTCCGGCTGGCTCCCAAGTTGGCCACGCCCAGCAGGAACTCATTAGCATAATAGGCCACACCCAACAGCAGAAACTCATTAGGACTGGCTACATTAGGGGTGTGTGGCCTAACATGCAAAGGAGTTCCTGCTGCAAAAAAAGGCCCTGGGTTTTGACAACAAACAAGGTAAACAGAATAAGAAGGGAAAGGTGGGTGTGGCTGGATGACCACACTTCTGGTAACATGGGGGTGCGGCCTAATATGCTAATGAGCCGTGCTGTCAGGGGTGTGGCCCAATATGCTAATGAGCTCCTGCTGTTGGGTGTGGCCTATTATGCTAATGAGTTCCTGCTGGGCTTTTTCTACAAAAAGAGCCCTGTATGTAATCCGCTTTTGAGTCTCTGTGACAAAGAACAAAGAACCAACAAATATATGCACAACAATCCTGTGAGGTAGATCTCTTTGACTCCCCTAATCGGCTCTGGCTAAATGTCTCCTTTGGCGTGGCAGGCACCCCCTGTTCCCGTTGCTGGCCCTCGTGTTTGAGAAATGTGAATTGGCCACCTGCTCTCCCAGGGACACCTCCGGCTCCTATCCGGGAGGCGACGTCTGCTCATCGGATTCCTTCAATGAAGACATTGCTGTTTTTGCCAAACAGGTAGGAATTCCGAAGGGACTGGGTGAACTGCGGGCTGGGGGGGGGGGTTGAGGGGATTGTTGGCTGACTGGCGTGACCGGGGGGGGGGGACACACGTAGTCTTCGAGGCTAAGCTTGGAAATAAATCCACTGTGTTTGTCATCCATTGGGAAGCATACTCCCTGCCCATGCAGGCATAGGTCTTATGTAGCCTTCAAAACAAAACAAGTGAAGTGGGGACTTGCGAGGAACATGCGGTAGCAGTTATCCCCAGGGATATTTTTGGGCAGGAACGCACAGGAACGGAGTTCCGGCTGGCTCCTGAGTTGGCCACGCCCAGCAGGAACTCATTAGCATAATAGGCCACACCCAATAGCAGAAACTCATTAGGATTGGCTACATTAGGGGTGTGTGGCCTAACATGCAAAGGAGTCCCTGCTACAAAAAAAGCCCTGGGTTTTGACAACAAACAAGGTAAACAGAATAAGAAGCAAAAGGTGGGTGTGGCTGGATGGCCACACTTCTGGTAACATGGGGGTGTGGCCTAATGTGCTAAGGAGTGGTGCTGTCAGGGTGTGGTCTAATATGATAATGAGTTTTGCTGTTGGGTGTGGCCTATTATGCTAATGAGTTCCTGCTGGGCTTTTCCTACAAAAAGAGCCCTGGATCCCATTCCCTCACCTTTGCTGCCTCCTCTCTCCCCCAATTTGTCTCATTCTCTCACTCTTTCTCCTTGGATTTGATTGGATTTTTTTTTTAGTTGCCGCTCACCCAAAGGCTCTTTCGGCGACTTATGATAGTAAAACCAAACAAATAAGATAAAACCAACGCTAAAACAGATGACGGATAGAAAACATTAACGTTAAAATGTTAAACTGTTAAAATACGTGGCTAGCACCGTAGGACTAACAGAACCCCCCAAAAAACTTGTGGATTACCCTCCAAAGGCAGACCTAAACAATTCAGCTTTGCACGCCCTGCGGAAACTAAGCAGGTCCGGCAGGGCACAGATGTCATCTGAGGTTGCATTACACAGGGGAGGGGCCACGATTGATGAGGCCCTTCCCCTGGTGGCAGTTAACCAAGCCGTCCTGACGCCAAGCACCTGCAAGAGGCCCCCAGATGATAACCAAAGGAAGCGCGGGGGGTTGCAATGTACCCATGCCTCCAGTTGTCCGCCTTTCTGACAGCGTTCCACATGTCCGCGCTGTGCACTTGATCACATGGACACCCAGTAGCATGGCCACACGTTCAGATGAAGTACAACAGAATCTCAAATTATGGACTGTCCTTGCTGGGTTTTGCTGGTAAGAGGCACATGGTAAGAGGCACATGGGATTCTGTGCACCTGACCAAACGCGTGTCAAGTGTCACTTGTAGTTGAGCTCTGAGACATTCTAGCTATCCAGATGCAAAGGTTACTAAGACCTTTGTCCAGATGTGCTCTGTCTGGCACTTCCAGGATTACACTGAATGCAGTTGTGTGCCGCGGGCAAAGCCAGGCCTAGATAGCGCACACCACTGAGATGCGCGGAGAAAGCACGCACCCTGCTTCATGGTCATGTCACCCCAATGGGGCTTTTCGGTCCCAGAAATGTTGGCAGCAGCACAGTGTATCTGATTTCTGGATCACCAAAGGATTACCGTTTCAGAGGGTAAGATGAGCTGGTTTGCAGTAGAAGGTCCAGAGCCAGTTTGGTGTAGCGGTTCGGAGCGCGGACTCGAATCTGGGAGGACTGGGTTTGATCCCCCACTCCTCCACATGCAGCTGCCGGTGTCACCTTGGGTCAGTCACAAGTTCTCTCAGTGGCTTACATAATTCCCCTCCCCTCCATTTGATCCTCACAGCAACCCTGTGAGGTAGGCCAGGCTGAGAGAGTGTGACTGGCCCCAGGTCACCCAGCGAGCTTCCGTGGAACGAGTGGGGATTCAGACCTCGGCCCTTGCAAATACTGGTCTGACATTCTTAACCACTACACCACACTGGATCTCGGCTCTAAAATATAATGAACTTCTTGTTTGGTGTGGTGATTAGGAGCGCAGACTCTAATCTGGGAGAACCGGGTTTGAGTCCCCACTCCTCCACATGCAGCTGCTGGTGTGACCTTGGGTCTATCCCAAGTTCTCTCAGAGCTGTTCTCTCAGGAGCCGTCCTCGAAAGAGGTCTCTCAGCCCCACCTACCTCACGGGGCGTCTGTGGTGGGGAGGGGAAGGGAAAGGAGATTGTAAGCCCCTCTGAGACTCCTTTGGGTAGTGAAGGGTGAGGTACAAATCCAACCTCCTCCTCCTCCTCTTCTCCTTCTTCTTCCGAGAGCCAAAGCTTCCTCTGTCAGGTGGATCTGGATAACAGTGCGTTATCATATACATCAGAGTTAGAACAGCCAGATTCGAACCCAGGAGTACCTTGGAGACTAATCTTTTGGCAGTCAAAGCTCCCTTTGTCTGTATAGCATCTTAAGTCACCGCAGAGAATAAATGTTCGCCGGGGCGGGGGGGGGGGGGGGTGTGGGCTGAAGGGACCCTGGGCATTGTATTTCTGCGGGCGGGCTGTGGAGGTCCCAGAGACAGAGAGTTCTTCGGATTGTCATACAACTTCAATTTCTATGATCCTTTGATGGAAACAGACCCAAATTGGTTGAAAGCACGGTGTTTTCGTAGCGGAGCGTGCAGCTGCCAGCTTTTCAACTGGCCCGGGACGCTGTGTTTTTTCACGGCAGACATTCTCAGGCCGTCTGCCGAGCTCTGGTTCACCAAACTTTATTTCTTTAATCTTCTTCTATTGATTTGAAATATTTCTTAGCCCCCCCCCCCCCCTTACGGAGCTCAATGAGAAGAGGCTTAAAAGTCTAGGGCAGTTTGGTGTGGTGGTTGAGAGCGGCGGACTCTAATCTGGGAGAACCGAGTTGGATTCCCCACTCCTCCACATGCAGCTGCTGGATGACCTTGGGTCAGTCGTGAGTTCTCTCAGAGCTGTTCTCTCAGGAGCAGTTCTTGAAAGAGCTCTCTCAGCCCCACCCACCTCACAGGGTGTCTGTTGTGGGGAGGGGAAGGGAAAGGAGTTTGTAAGCTGCTCTGAGTCTCCTTTGGGTAGTGAAGGGCGGGGTAAAAATCCAATCTCCTCCTCTTCTTCTTTTCAGTTTAGAAAAGAGACGATGAAGCGGGGACACGAGAGAGGTTTATGACATTACTAGGAAAAAGGCCTGTTGTGGAAATAAATACAACGAGATCTAGAAAGAGGCTCTGGGCGGGTGCCCCGGCCTTGGACACTCAGTGTCAATTTGCTGTGGCAACCTCAGCAGGGTATAATGACACTGAGTCCATTATTTTCTCCAGAGGAACTGATCTCTGCTACCCTAAGAACAGTTGTAATTTTGAGTAATCTCCAGCCCTCACCTGGAGATTGGCAACGGTGGTTCCTGAAACCCCACCCTCTCCAGGCTCCATCCCTCAAGTCTCCAGGAATTTCCCACCTGGAGTTGGCAGCCCTATCTCCTTCCCAGTCAATCATCAACCTACCTTTATTTTCCCCTCACTCTTCAGCTTTCCACCCCCCACACACCTGCAGCCTCTCCCGTGCTCTGAAGCCCTGACTGCTACGTCACATTGGCTGTCATACGGGGGCCACCTCAGCAGCATATAAGGATACAGAGCCCACCATTTTCTCCAGGGGAACTGATCTCTGCCGTCTGGAAAGCAGTTGTAATTCTGTGTGATCTCCAGCCCTCACCTGGAGATTGGACACATTTTACCTCAGAACAGCAAACTGTTTAGAATGTTAGAGGCAAAAGCCAATCAAGTCGCATATGCAAACGACCTCTGTGTTCCGAGGCAGAGGCCAATGAGGCTGCATATGCAAATAACCTCTGTGTTCTGACTGGCTATGGGGGGGAAGAGGAAAAGCAAAATGTTTAGAATGTTGGAGGAAGGACTCAGGCAAAGCAGTCAGTGGATAGGGAGACCCTCTGAATGATAGATCAGAGAGCGAACTGATTTTGGAGCGTGTGGAATGTTCTAGAGAAGTGCTACCACCATTCGGCTTTTATTTATAAGGGAGATGCCTGGGGTGGCGAGAGTTGACAAACAGAACTTTTTCTCCCTCTCCCAAAATATTAGAATTCAGGGGCATCCAATGAAGCTGATGGGCAGTCGGTTCAGGGCGGACAAAAGGAAATACTACTTTACAAAGAGTGATTAAAATGTGGAATTTGCAGCCGGAGGATGTAGTGATGGTCACAGGAATAAATAGCTTTAAAGGGGGGATTGGATAGATTCATGGAGGGTAAATCCATCAACGGCTACTAGCTATGGTGGCTGAGGCGAAGCTTCACATTCAGAGGCACTAAACCTCTGGATCGGAGAGCCAGGAGGCAACATAAGGCGAAGGCCTCGGCCTCTCTGCCCCATTGTTGGCCCTCCAGAGGAACTAGCTGACTGCTGTGTAAGACAGGATGCTGGACTAGATGGACCACTGGTCTGATCCAGCAGGGCTCTTAGAATTATGCCGCAATGAATTCATTCATCTTTAAGGTACCCCTGGACTCCATTACGTTTTTCTGGGACTGCCTCTCTTTCTGCCGATGTTTGCTGATGGACAGAGATTTTGAGGACGCCCTAAAGAAACATTCTTACACTGGAGATATGCTAGTTTCCCATCTATTTCCCTCCCATCTGACTTCCATGTGGACCTGTCTGTGTTTGAGCCGGCAGTACCATAGAAGGAAACCCGATCCGCTGTGAAATTCTGCTTCCTGTTAAAGAATCTTGTGTTTTAAAGGGTCGTGGTTTTTTTTTTTTGGAGGAGTGAAATGCAAGGTACACTTTTATTCACAAAGAGATAGAAAAGGTTAGGCCATGTTTGCTATCTCACTTGGCCCTTGAGGACCCTGCAGGACAAGTCACTGCAAAGATAATCAGTTGCCAAAGAGTCTTGAACAATTGTTTAATTTGGAGTGGGAAAAGAACGGAGGGGTGATAGTTTGCCTTTCATCCATTAAATATTGAGGGGACATATTTAATTAATCTGCACTCCACCTATCACCCCAATGGGCCTCCCCTCTATTTTATTCCCACAATAACCCAGTGAGGTAGGCCAGGCTGAGAGAGTGTGACTGGCCCCAGGTCACCCAGCGAGATTCTGTGGCATGAGTGGGGATTCAAACCTTGGGCCTTCCAAAGACCGATCTGACATTCTTAACCACTACACCGCACTGGATATCGCCCTTAGAATTTAATGGCTTTCTTGTTTGGTGTAGTGGTTAGGAGCACGGACTCTAATCTGGGTGAATTGGGTTTGAGTCCCCCCCGAAGGAATCTCAGAGCGGCTTACAATCGCCTTTCCCTTCCCCTCCCCACAACAGACACCCTGTGAGGCAGGCGGGGCTGAGAGAGCTCTTTCGAGGACTGCCCTTGAGAGAACAGCTCTGAGAGAACTTGTGACTGACCCAAGGTCACACCAACAGCTGCATGTGGAGAAGTGGGGAATCAAACCCGGTTCTCCCAGATTAGAGTCCGCGCTCCTAACCACTACACCAAACAGCAGGTGTGTGTGTGTGTGTGGGGGACACCCGTCCCTCTTAGCTATAAATTATATCACATTTCTATCCCTTCTTTCTCCCAAGAGATTCAGGGTTGCATCCGTGGTTCTTTTTCTTATAGTTTTTCCACATAACAGCCCTGTGAGGTAGGCGAGACTGAAAGATGGTCACTGGCCCAAGATCGCCCAATGTGCTTCATGGCAGGGTGGGAGATTTAAAACCAGGTCTCTCAGCTCCTAAACAGAGGATCTAACCATTAGACCACACTGTCTTTTTCACTGGGGTGGAGAGGCATTTTTGCAAATGCTAGCGTACAAACTCTTGCGATTCGACCCCGGATTCGGCATGGGAAACTGGAAGGTTCCTTTTATGCGAACATGAAGCAGTTGTGTGTTCTTCTCTGTCTTCTTTTGCTGTCAAGTCACAGCCGGTTTATGGTGACCCTGTAGGGTTTTCGAGGAAAGAGATGTTCAGAGGTGGTTTGCCTTTGCCTGCCTCTGCGTAGCAACCCTGGACTTCCTTAGTGGGTCTCCCATCCACGTACTAATCCGGGCCGACCCTGCTTAGCTTCCGAGACCCCAATTGTCTGGTCTATCCAGGTCAGGCCGTGTGTGTCCCAAGTACCAAGATTTCTGGGCCTTAGACTAGAGTTATCAATGGATCAGGAAAAAATTATTTGTCCAGATTTTTGTTGGGGGGGGGTTTGTTTTTGGACTGTTTGCCTGAAAATCTCGAAAAAGTTTTCTGCCGTTTTTCTGTCCCCAAATAGTGATAGAGAAAAGCAAGACGGTCACAGTCCACAGTGCAGTAAAGCAAAACGCGAAAAAGGAAACAGTGCAAAAAGTCCGTTTGTTTTTCCAGATAGACAATTAAAGAAGTCTTCACAAGGTAATGATGATGAAACTCTCCGGATTAACAATTTCCGTTTCGTAGACCCTTCATCAGAGATCAACAGCAGAAAGATGTCATTCCTTATTTTTCAAAGCGCAATCCTTCCATTCTCAAAATATACAGTTTCTAATCCATGCCATGGAATAAATTCTTATACACGTTTTCACAAAGCAGGGAGGTTGTTGCGATTAGCTTGCCTGCTTTGTGAAAAACGTGTATTAGAATTTATTCCATGGTATGGATCAGAAACTGTATATTTTGAGAATGGAAGGATTGCTCTTAGAAAAATAAGGAATGACATCTTTGTGTTGTTGATCTTTGATGAAGGCGCTGCGAAACGGAAATTGTTAATCCGGAGAGTTTCGTCATCATTACCTTGTGAAGACTTCTTTGATTGTCCGTCTGGAAAAAACAAACGGACTTTCGGCGTTACATGGAAATATAGACTTTTGTGATATGAACTGCAGCCATTTTTGCCCAGTTTCCTTTCTGTGTTTTGCTTTACTGTTTTTCTGTTCCCTCCTGTTTTAAAGCTGTACACATTGGGTGAACGCAGGTCTCTTCCGCACGGGAGGTGCCTGGCGATTTGGGGGTGGACCCTAGGGAGGGTGGGGTTTTGGAGGGGGCGGAGCCTAGGTAGGGCAAGGTTTGCGAGGGGAAGGGACGGCAGCAGGCTATACTGCCATAGACCCCACCCTCCAAAGCAGCCATTTCCTCCAGGGGAACTGATCTCTGTCTTCTGGATATCATTTGTAATTATGGCAGAACTTTGGGCCTAACCCGGAAGTTGGCGGTCCTAGCCGTACCCCCCAGAGCCGCTCCGGTCCACCAGCTCCACTCCTCCGCTCACGCGTGGCGCCGTCTCTCGGCCCCTCCCCAATCCCCAAGTTTTGGACTTTTCAGGACAGAGAGGCCTATTCTCGATTCTGGAAGGGGAGTGAGTGAGGTTGAAACACCCCCGGCTCTGTTTAGAGCTCCTAAACTGTTTACCGTCGGGGATTCTTGCAGGAGACATATGGAAGAGAACTGACCTTGTGTTCGAAAAGGCAAGGGAAATGTAGAGGAATTTAAAAGGGGGAGGCGGAAGGGGGGGCGAGAGAGAGGGAGAGACCGGGGAGGTTGCAAACTTTCTAAAGGGAAATATACAAACTCCTGCCAGCTGGGACAAATCTCAGGGGAAGAAAATTGCATTTTATTTTATTTTTTTTTGATTTTGCCATTTCTTTACAGTTTCTGGGAAACGAGAGAAACAGATTTTTTTTTCCAGCGATGCGCATCTTATGCGTCTCTCTCCATCTTCTGTCTTGCTCGGGTCCCCTTCCCTCCCCCTCCCACCCGGATTGTCTATTTTTAGGTTAGGACGGAAAAGCCGCTGTTTTCTTCCAACCCGGAGCTGGATAATTTGGTAAGGAGACGTCTTCTTTCTCTTGGTGTTTTCAAGAACTCCAGTCAAGGTCACAACCATTTCCCTGTTCTCCACTTTTCTGTTCCGCGATAACATCATGTCGGCAACTGAGTGGCAGCCGACAGGCGGTAGAGAAGGCTTATGAGAGGTTGGGGCCTGCCAATCACGAGCCGGCGCTGCCGTTATCGCCCACTGATTGGCCCAGCTCGGATGCCCTCCGGCAGCCGGGATGGCGAGAGGCGGTTGCTTAGCAACTGAACAACAGCGGCTGTGATTGGGGGAAATCCCTTGTTCGGAATCTCACTTGCGCTACGGGCGCGAGAGCCTTACACAAGTCCTTACCAGACACCCCATCTGCAACATCTGGATCGTGTTTACTTCTAAGTGAACATGTGGAGCACCCACACGCCTGTTCCGTGATTTGGGGGCGGGCTCAGTTAAAACAGGTTAACCCGAGGGATGTTTTCCAGATGTTTAAAAGTAATCCGCCTTCCAATTGGGACCTGTTCCAAAACTGCAAGTTTCTAGTCCATAAGTAGCTTCAGAGGTAATGCCAAGCCCGGATCTGATGCCGTATGGACCAGCCCTTCGATTGTGGGCGTCCCATTCTTTCTTCTGTTCGGAGTCAGTTTCCCCACAATATCCAGGTCGGCGGCAGTGTTCCCTCTAAGCTGAGTTAGTGTGAGCTAGCTCACAGTTTTTTAGCCTCTGGCTCACACATTTTTGTCTTAGCTCAGGAAGGACGGCTCCAGAGCAAACTATTTTATGCAGTAGCCAAATCGCTCGCTCACAACTTTAATGCCAGTGGCTCACAAAGTAGAATTTTTGCTCACAAGACTCCACAGCTTAGAGGGAGCATCGGTCGGCGGTTTGTGTTTCCCTTCTGAATCGGGAACGCAGTGTTCTCTCTAAGCTGAGTGAGTGTGAGCTAGCTCACAGTTCTTTAGTCCTCCGGCTCACACATTTTTGTCTCCGCTCAGGAAGGAGGGTTCCAGAGCAAACTAATTGATGCAGCAGCCAAATGGCTCGCTCACCATTTGAATGCCGGTCGCTCACTGAGTAGAATGTTTGCTCACAAGACTCCACAGCTTAGGGGGAGCGTTGATTTGAGGCCGGATGCAGACCTTCAGTTGACGAAGAAACACCAAGCGCAGCCACAATGCCACTGGAAATGACGGATGCTGCCAGAGTACGTGCAGCCATTTTGGGGAATGCCGGGAAAAGTTGGGAATGGGGTTTCCCTGTTCCTGAACTTCCTCCCCGCCTTCTGATGATGGATTTCCCATTGCATTTTTCTCGGCTTGCTGTGAAATAGCTTCAACCTCGCTTCGAGCCAGGGGCGTTTTTGTGGGTACGATGCGTTCTACGCACCATTAAAGAGCCCCCACTGCAAGGATCTTGATATCGGTACATTTCTGTGAGAGTACAGGGATATTTGACATGTATTTTTGCTAGTGAGAGGCAGGGGGGTGCAAGGCCGGATTGAAACACGGCACTGGCAAGGCCTTATTGCAGGAATCCCCAACTTGGCGCCCGCGGGCACCCGCCAATGCCTTTCCTGGCGCCCAACAAGTATTTTAAGGGAGTTGGGCAGGACCAGGTGGTGTCAGAATTCCAAAGGTGTCTATAGGCTCACAAAGTCGAAGAGGAGACCCCTGCCTTACCACACTGCGGCGGGTGGATTTGCCGCTTCCCACGCCACGTTTCAGTCAGTCCGAAGACCTTTCATTTGGATTCCTAAAAACATGCTTTTCCAGGGTGTCTCCACAGATTGAGAGGGGTGTGAGAAACATCAGGGGGTTCGGCAGCGCACTATACAGCACGGCTGCTGCACATGCGGGCCTCTGCATTTTTAAAACACCCACATACCTGTGTCTGATGAAGCTACCGGGTTCCCAGATGCACGTACTGAGGGGTTTAAAGATGCGTTATGCAGAAGTCAACTACCTTGTCTGTTTTATAGCCCGAGCTGCAGCATGCTTACTCGGAAGTAAACCTTCCTATTAGCAATGGGGCTTACTTCCAAGTAAACATGCAGGGAATGTGTTCTGTTTCAATCTGTTCATTATGCTTCAGAAACAAGCTGATCTTTCTTTCTTTCTTTCTTTCTTTCTCTTTCTTTCTTTCTTTCTTTCTTTCTTTCTTTCTTTCTTTCTTTCTTTCTTTCTTTCTTTCTTTCTCTCCCCCTCTTTCTCTCTCTCTCTTTCTCTTTCTTTCTTTCTTTCTTTCTTTCTTTCTTTCTTTCTTTCTTTCTTTCTTTCTTTCTCTCCCCCTCTTTCTCTCTCTCTCTCTCTCTCTCTCTTTCTTTCTTTCTTTCTTTCTTTCTTTCTTTCTTTCTTTCTTTCTTTCTTTCTTTCTCTTTACAGATGATCCAAGCTATCCAAGTTCTGAGGTTCCACCTTCTGGAATTAGAAAAAGTAAGTTACCTCTTGCGAAAGCTATAAGATGCACTTTTCTTCTCAGGATGGGAGCAGAGATTTGGCACGCCGGCAGGAGATGATTTCTGCTTTATCCGGAGCAGCCTGAATGGGGTCCCTCTTAATTATTAATTCATTAATTAATATAATTTGTGCCCGGCCTTTCTCAAAGTGACTTACATCCAGGCCCGTAGCCAGGGGTTTGTGGCTCCTGGGGCAAATATTTTCCTGGTGGGGCTGAAGTTCTCAGTGCAGAAGGAAAAGCCATTTAGCCAATAGGAAGCTGTGACCAGGATAGATCTCTGAACTGCAAGCTGTCAACCACTTAAGATGACAGTTCTCAACTGCTGCAAGTTAATCACTTCCGCCAGCCTAAGCAACAATTCTGCTAACAAGCCGGCAGGTGGTGGGGATAACTTTTATAGTCAAGAAAGCTAGCACTTAGGCAGGAAAACTCTCTGAAAGAAGACCAGTTTCTTGACACAGTTAGAAGGGACCCCAAAGGTCACCTACTCCAACCCCCTTGCTCAGCACGGGAATTAATCAACGACAGCCCACCACTCTGCTTACAGAAGTGCACACCATTTAAAAATTCATAGGGAGCTGTGCCTTTAAGAAAGGGGTCAGAGCCCCCCCAAAGCCCCACTGTAGTTACGGGCCTGCTTACATCATTCTCTCCTTCATTTTTACTATGAGGTAGGTAAGTTAGGACGGGAGCACGTGACTTGCCCAAGGTCATCTGGTGAGCTTCTCTGGCACAAGTGGAGATTCGAACCCGGGTCTCCCAGGTACTAATCTGACATTCTTAGCCCCCACACCACACTGGCCACAACTGTTCGTGGCCACGACCGTTAAGACTGAACTGGGTTGTATGAATCCCATGTTAATAAAATTTTTAATCCTGCCATCCAAATTCTATGCAGAGGGAAACGGGTTTGGCTTGCGTGATACACACATTTGCCGCATTTGCATGTTCTCTCTTGGCTTTACCCAGGGCTCTTTGTGTAGAAAAAGCCCAGCAGGAACTCATTAGCATAATAGGCCACACCCAACAGCATAAACTCATTAGCATATTAGGCCACACCCCTGACAGCACAGCTCATTAGCACATTAGGCCGCACCCCCATGTTACCAGAAGTGTGCTCATCCAGCCACACCCAACTTTTGGTTCTTATTCTGTTTACTTTGTTGTCAAAACTCAGGGCTTTTTTGTAGCAGGAACTCCTTTGCATGTTAGGCCACACACCCCTAATGTAGCCAATCCTAATGAGTTTCTGCTGTTGGGTGTGGCCTATTATGCTAATGAGTTCCTGCTGGGCGTGGCCAACGTGGGAGCCAGCCGGAACTCCGTCCATGTGCGTTCCTGCCCAAAAATAGCCCTGGCTTTACGTAATTGATTTCCTCTTTTAAAATACCTTTATGAATTATTTTGGCTCTTGTGGATTGGAGGCGCCAAAACCAGCCGTCAAACGTCTCCCCCGAAGAGCATTACGCTCACAAGATCAAAATCTACTGGTGATCCCGGGCCAAAAGGAAGATCGGCTGTCTTTGACCAGCGCCAGGGCCTTTTCGGCCTCAGCTTCTCCCTGGTGGAACTATCTACGTGGAGACATCCGCGTCCTGTGGGACCTTGTACAGTTCCTCAGGGCGTGCAGAACAGAGATGTTCCACCGGGCCTATGGTTGAGGAGAGCCATGGGTTCCCGTCTCATCCAGCCCATGACCCCCGCCCCTCATGGGGAATGCCATCTTTTATAGTCAAGAAAGCTCGCACTTAGGCAGAAAAACTCTCTGAAAGGAGACCAGTTTCTTGACACAGTTAGAAGGGACCCTAGAGGTCACCTACTCCAACCCCCTTGCTCAGCACGGGAATTAGTCAACGACAGCCCCCCATGGGGAATGCCATCTGAGACAGCAGGTTGCTTCCGCTGGGTTTATTTCAATCACGACTGATTGTCTGGTTTTAAATTAATTAATTTATATACTACAATGTATGCACTGGGGCTGCGGTGGCTCAAGTGGTTAAGACGCTGAGCTGCAGACCGGAAGGTCAGTAGTTCAGCAGTTCGAGACCCGAGTGCCGCATGACGGAGTGAGCTCCGGTCTCTGGCCCCAGCTCCTGCCAACCTAACAGTTCGAAAGCAAGAAATTGCAAGTAGATAAATAGGTATTGCTTCGGTGGGAAGGTAACAGCGTTCCGTGCACCTCGGTGTCTAGTCGTGCCGGCCGCATGACCACGGAAACATCTTCGGACAGCGCTGGCTCTTCGGCTTGGAAACGGAGATGAGCACCGCATCCCTAGAGTCAGATTCGACTGGCTTTCGAGCAAGGGAGACCTTATGTACTACAATTAATTGAACTGAATTGTATTTTAAATATGTTGTGTACTGACCTGAGCCTTCCAAGGGGAGGGCGATTTAGACATTTAATAAATAAATAGATGAATTTTTGAGCTCCCGTCCGGCTTCTGAAATTCCAGCAGGCATTGCCCATACCCTCCAGAGCATGAGGACTGGAAACATGGACTTGAAATAAATGAAAACTGAGGTTCTGAGAAAGAGGATTCATGCACCTTACCTAGGGTTGCCAGCTCCGGGTTGGGAAATATGTGGAGATTTTAGGGATGGAGCCCTGAGGGGGGTGGGGTTTGGGGAGGGGAGGGAAGAAGAAAAAGAAGAAGAGTTGGATTTATACCCTCCCCTTAACTTGGAGACTCAGGGCGGTTTACAATCTCCTTCCCTTTCTCTCCCCACAACAGACATCCCGTGAGGTAAGTTGTGCTGAGAGAGCTCTGAGAGAACTGCTTGTGAGAGAACAGCTCTGAGAGAACTGTGTCTGGCCCAAGGTCACCCAGATGGCATGTGGAAGAGTGGGGAATCAAACCTGGTTCTTCAGATTACAGTGAACTGCTCTTAACCACTACACCACACTGGGACTTCAGTGAGGTATAACGCCGCAGAGTCCACCTTCCAAAGTGGCCGTTTTCTCCAGGAGAACTGATCTCTGTTGCCTGGAGATGAGTTGTAATCAGTGTTCCCTCTAAGGTGAGTTAGTGTGAGCTAGCTCACAGTTTTTTAGCCTCCAGCTCACGCATTTTTGTCTTAACTCAGGAAGGATGGCTCCAGAGCCAACTAAGTTATGTGGCAGCCAAGTTGCTCGCTCACAACTTTAGTGCCAGTAGCTCACAAAGTAGAATTTTTGCTCACAAGACCCCACAGTTTAGAGGGAACATTGGTTGTAATCCCAGGAAATCTCCAGCTGCCGCCTGGAAGTTGAACTCCAACATCAACGTCCGTGACACAAATAACGAGGAGTCGATAAAGATACGTTTCAAAGCCATTTACTGTAGTAATTCTGTAGAAAATTCCCTTATCGCTCACACGCTAACGAATGCTGCGCAACGTAAACAATCCGTTTCACAATATTTGCTTCATCTGCGCATACGGTAATCCCAATTCTTATCAATCACTGCTCATCAACTCTTGAAGGAAAAATCCCCATATCGACTCTCTAATAACAGAAGCCGAGGTAAATGATTCTGCAACATATCTTTATTGACGCTTCGTTGTTTTTGCCACGGACGTTGTTGCTGGATTTCCACTCCCTCCCGTGGTCTCTCATTTTTGGCTGCCTTACCTGGACGTTGGCAACCCGAGCTTACGGCCTATCATTTTTGTCTTCTGTGAAGCGGTAGTGTTCGCACGGCACTGTGTGAAGCCAGCGGGGGTGTGTGTGCATGCCCTCATTGTTTTAAATGGCATGCCGGAGCCCCCTCCAGAGGGGAAACGAAAAATCCCAAACTGTCGAGTTCGTTTTCTCCTTTTTTTAAAAAAAAAAAAGCTATCCTCAAGCAACATGAAAGTTTGCAAATAATTTCCCCTTTTCTCACTCAGTGCGGCGACAGCTGGCTCCAATTTTGAACAATCTCATCTGATGGGGGGGGGGGGGGGGGAGAGAGAGAGGCTTTACAAATAGATTCCAAGCCTCGTTGGCTGTTCTGTTCTGTATTCTCTACCGGGCTCTGGATCAACGTGTGCGGGTATCCTGGCACTAGAATGCTAAGAGTGCTCCCCCCACCCCGGGGACAATCATACCTTCCCCCCCCGTCCAGCCAACACCTGTCTCAGAACCCCGAGCAGGAGGCCAAGAACAGGGTGAAAAGCCAAATTTGTATTTATCATCCCCGTCATTGGTTCGGCGGCCCCGTCCATCTGCGTATCTCCCAGCAGACGGGATTTTAAAAAAATCTCCCAAACCTTGTTCAGAGTCATTGGTTTAGCGAAACTTCGGTGCCGCTGCCGCCGGAACCTGCCCGAGGCAGCTGAGAAAATGAAAACGATTTTAAAAAACAAAAAACAGCAAAAGAGATTAATTAAGATCCGATGATATACTGATAGGGTTGCCAACTCCAGGTTGGGGAATTCTTGGGAGATTTTGGAGGAGGAGGAGAAGAGGAGGAGATGAGATTTATACCCCACTCTTCACTACCCGAAGGAGCCTCAGAGGGGTTTACAGTCTCCTTTCCCCTCCCCTCCCCACGACAGGCACCCTGCGAGGCAGGTGGGGCCGAGAGAGCTCTTTCGAGGACTGCTCCTGAGAGAACAGCTCCGAGAGAACTTGTGACTGACCCAAGGTCACACCGGCAGCTGCATGTGGAGGAGTGGGGAATCAAACCCAATTCCCCCAGATTAGAGTCGTGCGGAGGGACCTCACCTGGACACACTGTCATTGGGTCCACCCTCCAAAGCAGCCATTTTCTCTGAGGGAATTGATCTCTGCTGTCTGGAGATCAGTGGTAATTCTGGGGGTGTCTCCAGGCACCACCTGGAGTTTGGCAACCCCACCCTCCAACACTCTCCAAATCCCCAGGAATTTTGGCCACCCTAGCTTGTTATAGAGCCGGTGAAGCTCAGAGACACCTAAAAGCCATTCGGTGATGTGAGATCTGGCCCTGGGGTGGGTGGGGTGAGGCCAGGGAAGTCAGGGATTGGCTACCACTCCTCCTGAGGGGGTAACTGATTTATTTATTATATATATTTATTATATTTGTATCCCGCCCAATGTTCCCTGTAGGCTGTGGAGTCTTGTGAGCAAAAATTCCACTTTGTGAGCTTCTGGCATTAAACTGGTGAGTGAGCAGTTTGGCTGCTGCATAAATTAGTTTGCTCTGGAGCCCTCCTTCCTGAGCGGAGACAAAAATGGGTGACCCGGAGGCTAAAAAAACTGTGAGCTAGCTCACACTAACTCAGCTTAGAGGGAACACTGATCCCGCCCTCTCCACTTTTGTCAGGCTCAAGACGGCTAACAACATAGATATAAATAAATGCATTAAAGCTCCAATATACATACTAAAACCAGCATTCCATTAAAATCACAATATAAACGATCAATACACTGCACCTAGCTGTCATGCCGATGGCGACAATACACTCATCAGCTGTAAGCTTCTTTTCCAGGGACGATTCCCAGACTAGCATCCACTGCCCTGGAGGGTTTTTTTGTCATCTTCTGTGCGTGGAACAGCGGTCACTGCGGGTGCGAGGGGGGGGAGGTATCTGTGAATTTCCTGCATTGTGCCGGGGGTTGGACTAGATGACCCTGGAGGTCCCTTCCAACTCTATGCCAGTTTGGTGTAGTGCTTAAGTGTGCGGAGTCTAATCTGGGAGAACCGGGTTTGATTCCCCACTCCTCCGCTTGCACCTGCTGATGTGACCTTGGGTCAGTCACAAGCTCTGGCACAGCTGTCCTTGAAAAAGAGCAGTTTGTGTCAGAGCTCTCTCAGCCCCACCCACCTCCCAGGGTGTCTGTTGTGGGGAGGGGAAGGGAAAGGAGTTTGTAAGCCGCTCTGAGACTCCAAGTGAAGGGCGGGGTATAAATCCAATCTCTTCTTCTTCTCTATGATTCTATGAGTTCTGCAAAACTTCTGTAGCTCTGGGTCCTTAAGCATGTTTTTCAAGCAAAAAAAATATCATTTTTTTGACGTAGAGGGAAAGCTTCTGCCTATATCGGGAGCATTTCAGGAAGCAGAATTTCTGTATCTGAAAGTAGACCAACTTACTAAGCGTCATGGAGTGGTCAACTTGTCTCTGGGATGTATTCTTTCGTTATGTAGTTGGGGGGAAGGGAGGTGTCTCATCATAACAACAAATCCCACATAGAAAGCTAGCTCTCAAGGAAAAGCTTCGCCTTCTCCCTGAGTTGCTAGCTTTCTATGTGGAAGAATTTTCTGAATGGAGCGGCGCTCACTCATATGAGCTTCCACTAGCACCCCGAAGACTTGGCGCAAACTCATCTTTAGCATATGGGTCCTGAAAGATGTTGGAGGATTCTGGGGTTCTGAAATTCCCCTGAGCTGCTGGTTTTCTCAGCCTTCATTGTGGGATTGCCAACCTCCAGGTGGGGCCTGGAGATCTCCCACTATTACAACTTTTCTCTAGACCACAGACATCTGTTCCCCTGGAGGAAACGGCTGCTTTGGAGGGGGCCGGACTCTATGGCATTATACCCTGCTGAGGTCTCTCCCTCCCTCCAAACCCTGTCCTTTGTAAAGTTCCCTCCCAAATCTCCAGGAATTTCCCAATTCAAAGTTGGCAACTCTGTCTGCAAGTCCTTCTGGCTGCCACTGCTTGGTCAGTGTGTAGGTGTGTCGGGAAAATCCTGCCTCCTCGCCACTAACGGAACAAGCTAGTTACCCGCTCAATAAAACCCTGTGTGCGAAACCCGGTAAATCCCTTGTTAATGTCGTAATTAACCCTTTGATTCACACAGTGGGCGCCTGCTTGGGGGGGGGGGACAGACCCTCTAAAGCCAAGTTTTAATCTTTGAGCATTGTGGATAAAGTGGGGAAGAGGGATTGAGCTTGGAGGAGGGAGAGAGGGAGGGCGCTGTGTTGATTTGGGGGGTAGAGTCGTGCAGAGATGAAAAGGTCCCGCGGGTGACCGGGAGGGCCTTGTTTAGCCACCAGGCGTGAAACAAGCAACTGGCTCAGATTTCCAACGTGATTTAGATCCTGTTGCATGGACTCAAAGCACATTTGGTCCCCTTTTGTTTTGGGGGTCTAAAATAATCTGAGGTGAGTGACAGGTGCCCCAAGAAAACATGCAAGATCTATGGCTAAGAGCCAGAGAATCCCACCTTCTCTCTTTGAAAGAGAAAAGAAAAAGGGGCTCTAGATCTCGTTGTTAAAGGGAGAGGCTTGAAAAGGTGATATGGAGAACCCTAAGAAATTAGGAACGGGGACTATTTCTTTACATGACAAGTGATCCAATTGGGGGATACGCTGGCAGAGGATGTAGTGATGGCCGCAGGCATAGACGGCTTTATAAGGGGATTGGACAGATTCATGGAGCAGAGGTCTATCATTGGCTACTAGCCATGGTGGCTAAAGGGAACCTCGGCATTGGCATTCGGGGCAGTCAACCTCTCTGAACACCAGTGACAGGAGGCAACATCAGGGGAAGGCCTTGGCTTATGCTTTGTCTGTTGGTCCTCCAGAGGAACTGATTGGCCACTTTGTGAGATAGGAGGCTGGACTAGATGGACCCTCAGTGGTCTGATCCAGCAGGGCTCTTCTGCTGGACCTCCAGAGGATCTGGTTGGCCTCTGTGTGAGACAGGATGCTGGATGAGATGGACCCTCCTTGGCCTGATCCAGCAGGGCTCTTCTGATGTCCTTATCAAGGGAAGGCCTCGGCCTCTGTGCCCTGTATGTTGTTCCTCCAGAGGAACTGGTTGGCCACTTTGTAAGACAGGACGCTAGGCTAGATGGACCACTGGTCTGATCCAGCAGGACTCTTCTGATGTTCTTATGGACTTTTGTTCTTAACCTCCACATTCCATTGGTTTTTATCTGATAATAATTGTAAGGTAACATGTCAAGTTGCTAAATTCTGTACATTAATTGTCAAATCACGGGACTTACACCATCAAAGCTCTTACACCAGTTTGGTGTAGTGGTTAAGTGTGTGGACTCTGATCTGTGAGAACTGGGTTTGATTCCCCACTCCTCCACTTGCACCTGCTGATGTGACCTTGGGTCAGTCACAAGCTCCTGTTCCTGAAAGAGCAGTTTGTGTCAGAGCTCTCTCAGCCCCACCCACCTCACAGGGTGTCTGTTGTGGGGAGGGGAAGGGAAAGGCGTTTGTAAGCCGCTCTGAGACTCCAAGTGAAGGGCGGGGTATAAATCCAATCTCTTCTCTTCGTCTTCTTCGTAAATTCGAAAACTTTTTATTACTGTATTTTATGTTTGACTAAACTGTATGCTGGTCTAAAGACTGTAATAAACAAAAACCTCCATATTCAGAGACACAGTCAACTTTTGAATCCCAATGCCAGGAGGTAGTATCAGGAGGAAGGCCTCGACCTCTCCGCCCTGTTGTTGGGCCTCCAGAGGAACTGTTTGGCTACTCTCTGAGACAGGACGCTGGGCTGGATGGACCACCAGGGCTCTTCTTAAGTTCTTATGAAGGCCTCTATGCCTTGTTGTTGGCTGTCCAGAGGAACTGGCTGGCTACTCTGTGAGACAGGATGCTGGACTAGATCGACCATGGGCCTGATCCAGCAGAGCTCTTCTGACGTCCTCATGAAGGTCTCAGAATATAAAAGGAGCCCTGCTGGATCAGACCAGTGGTCCATCTGGTCCAGCATCCTGTCTTCTACGTTACAATCCCAGCATGAAATGAAGTACCTGATAAGGAACCCGATGGGAAATTACCAAATGGGCCCGCAACCATCTAGCCGATGCACTCTTCTATTTAATGGGGTTTTTTGTTGTTGTTCCCCGGTGCTGTGACAGGTCCACGACCTCTGTGACAACTTCTGCCACCGTTACATCACTTGCCTCAAGGGGAAGATGCCCATTGACCTGGTGATAGACGACAGAGACGGGGGCTCCAAATCGGACCTCGAAGATTTCGGCGGATCTTGCGCGAGCCTCTCTGACCAGGTGAGCCGCCCAGCTCCGTGACCTCCCGGCCCCACGAATGATTTTGTGAAAGATATTCGTAGAAAAATATGCTTTAGCGGAGATTAAATTGGCAGAGCAATGACAAAGAGTTTGAGTCCATGTGTAGTATACTGAAAAGAGAAATACACCATTTTGGTGTAGTGGTTGAGTGCGCGGACTCTAATCTGGGAGAACCAGGTTTGATTCCCCACTCCTCCACTTGCACCTGGCTGGATGACCTTGGGCAAGCCATAGTTCTCTCAGAGCTGTTCTTGAAAAAGAGCCATTTCTGTCAGAGCTCTCTCAGCCCCGCCTACCTCCCAGGGTGTCTGTTGTGGGGAGGGGAAGGGAGAGGAGTTTGTAAGCCGCTCTGAGACTCCTTTGGGTAGTGAAGGGCGGGGTATAAACCCAATCTCTTCTTCCTCTTCTTCTTTACTTGAACAAACAGGGAAAAGGTCAAATGGGATTTGACGCAACAAACTCTAAACCCTACATGTTTTAGGGTTGCCAGCCTCCAGGTGGGGCCTGGGGATCTTCCGCTTTCACGAATGATCTCCAACTGGAGAAAATGGCTGCTTTGAAGGGTGGACTCTATGGCCTTGTACCATGCGGAGGCCTCCCCAAACCCTGCCCTCTCCTGGATCCACCCCCAAAGTCTCCAGGTATCTCCCAACCCAGACCTGGCAACCCTAATATGCTTACAGCTAGAAAACTACATTAGAAGAATGGCGTCTCTTTTCCATGCAAACAAAGACAGGGAAGAGACCCCAAGATGCAAAACAGCCAATACTTTGATTTTTCCAATCACGCTAAAGTTCGGGTCATTTAACTAAGAACATAACAGATGCCAATATTGGATCAGGCCAGTGGCCTAGCCAGTCCAACACTCTGTCACACAGTGGCCAAAAATACCAGGTGCCATCAGGAGG